GCAATCACGGTAAACCGGCATGAGGCCTACAATGAAGCGATATTCTCGGGTCAACCCGAGTTGGTTTCGGGTTTCCGGGTCAACCCGAACCCAACCTGTTTCGGGTCCAGATTGACCCTAACCCGGAATTTTATGGACTCGACACAAATATGGTTATAACTCAATTGTGTATTAAAGGTATCTTACTTTACATTTCTGCTCTTCCTCTCTATTATTCTTCTTGATATCTTAGTTACTTGACATATTCCTAACGTTGGATTTGTACTCCATTATTATAAATATTAAATAGTTTTTAGTACATACCTGCCCTATAGAAAGCAAGCACATCATACACAGTACTAGCTATGTGGTGTCCAATATTTTTCTAGATTTTGTGCCATTGTGTTTGCATTGCGCAATATCCATTAACAATTCAGTGTCAGTGCTTCACAATGAGCTAGTGATTATTATCATCGTGATTTTGCTACGTTAATACTGCTTTTCCAGTGGATTTCTTCCTTTAAAAAACAGAAGAAAAAGGAAAATTAGATATGCTGACTGATTTCTTCTACTTCGAAATGAACAGGAGGGATGATCCATGGTTTTCGGAACTGGGACAATGTTGCATTCACATGACATGGCATGATCGAGGTGCAATATCTCTTGATGTACGCTCGCATTGTTAGTTTTTCAATTTTTGTGATCCTTACAAAGAATATTGAGCATTGATTGAAAATCTTTGAAGTTATTATGTTCTTTTTTTTTATGAAATTTGGTGCTGTATAATGCTAGCGATGTGCAATATCTATTGATTCCATTACTGATTATCAACTTTAGCCAACCATAATGCCCAGCTGATTATCTTTAGTAAACATTTACCGCATAATCGATGTAATTCATGTAAATATGGGATATGCTTTACTGAAATTAATTATGTGGATTCGTTGTTGTAGGGGTTGGGCTTGCAAGTGGTGAACCGGGTAGATGAAGCAGATTTTATTTTAGCGCATGGTACTGAAGCACTTGGCCTACCTTCTGGTGATTCACAGCCTATGAGCCTTGAAGAGCTTGAGAAAATTTTAGAGCTATGCAGTAAAAGGAAAATTCCAATGGTGGTAGCTAACCCGGATTTTGTTACTGTTGAAGCTAGAGGTTTGCGTGTAATGCCTGGTAAGTCTAGTGAACTATATACTGATGAATGACCAGTTCTATACTGGAACTTTTTCCTTTTCCATGTAAACTCGGATGCTGTTGCAATTATAGTTATTTGCGATTAGACAATTAATTTTGGCAAAAATCTCTGTTCTAATGCTTCCCTTTTTCATGTGGATGATTCCGGTTATATTTCAGATCACTTTTGTTGTCACTCATGGCTTGCAACTTATTTCTTTGTAGGCACACTTGCCGAGAAATATGAAAAACTTGGTGGCGAAGTGAAATGGATGGGGAAACCTGATACGGTAAAGTTTATATACTATGTTTTACTTGATTCTTCTGTCTGTCGTGATTCTTAACTTCTTAAGAAAGGCAAATAATTCTGTTCGTTATAGTATTATTTCAATTATGTTCTGATTTAGATACAGCAGTTGAATTCAAATATGAGGTTTTCACCATATCCACTCTTCCAGATTCCTAACAGAACCATAAATTTTGGTTGGATAGACTATATGTAGTTGTTTTAGACTAAATACCGGTAGATATTGATTCAGGACTACGTAAATGAAATGATTATGCGTTCATTCGGATATTGCTCAACTTATGATTAGAATAATAATAGAACAAAATTACTAGCAAATTAAAACGACGAATCAAAATTAGGAGAAGTTATCTTCTTAGGCTAAATCACATGCTATAAGTTTTGAAACTTCCAAAATAAATAGAAAAATAACACAACACGTAGTAGTAGTTTTCAAATTAATCCCTAATCTAACAATGAGAATTAGGATGCATTGAAAGTGCGCTCAAATCCTACGATTACTAAGCTTAAGTGTAAAACCCGAAAACGTCATTTTAGGCTTCGCACGCTTTTCAAAGCGCCGCGACGAGTTTTCCACCTTTGTACATGTATGTTGAATGAATTACTAGAACTGCTTATCTGATGATTAGTGGCGTTTGTTTCCTTCGTATATACCTTATGTTTATAAAAGTTTTAGATGTTATGGTTTAATTGCCTGTCCGATTTCCGTTCCCGCCTCGTCTATACGAGCTAACCGGGCCGGATCGTGACATTAAGCAAGAGTAATTGGAAGAGCCCGTCGCGACTGCAATCAAAACAACGAGAATTTAGACTAAAATGAATAAGACGCAAGAGAAAAGAGAAACCTTCGTTATGGAGAGGTGGAGATCCTCCATTCGACACCTTCTGAGTGTTCGTCAATGGCTTCCGTCAATGCAAATAGGATGCGCTCTACGTAGTCTTCAACAGTGTGGTCAATCTCCAGATTCACGTCGAAGAAGATGGATCGTAGGATGTCGATGAAGCCGTCTTTGTCCCAAGTGATGCCGTATTCAGTTTCCGAATCAGCCATTCATAGGGATTAATGTTTGAAATATCTCCACAGTAGCTAGTACTCTTGAAGATTACCAAGGGCAAAGAGACAAGAAGTTCTCTTCAATTTGTGATGAAGAAGCAACCGCAAATCCCTCCAAAAATCTGAAAAGGGTTTCAGATTTTCTATCCAAATCCTTAGAGAAAATTTCAGATTTCTCTATTGAAAAGGCAGAACTATTGGGAGGAAAACTTAGGCAGAGAATTCAAATGAAGACTTAGTGAGAGGGGAGAGAGTTTGGGAGAGAGGGAGGGGACGGGTAAGGGGAGGCTGGGTCGGCGGCAGTGAAGAGGTTTTAGGGAATTTCTTTCCAAAACATACGACTTGAAATTGGAAAGAAATAAGGAGGTTATGAGTCTTGGAAAATTCGGCCAAAGGGAATAGAAAATAATTTGAATTATTTCCAAATGAGCTTATGAAACAATTAGGAAATAAATCCTAATTTACTCACATAGGGGCCGGCGGCATGCATGGGCAAGGGAGGCTTTAATGAGAGCAATTAAAGTTTCTTAATTTGAGTTTTGAATTAAGGAAAGAATTATTTTAAAACCAATTGAATTGTAAATTCAAATTAAATCAAAATTAGAAACTTTCCTAAAATAGTTGAGTTAT